ATCTACACGAAAGAATGTAGAGCACCCAAGATGGCAAATGTGTGAGCAAAAATGCAACATTAAAAAGCATTTTAAAAGATAATTGACTGTTTAAGGCAAAAATGATAAATTAATGTGAGTTTACAGCACATATAGAAGCAAAATGCATGAAAAGAGTAACACAAAACCCAAAAGGAGGGAAATGCATGGGTACTGTTTTAAGGTTCTCATCCTCCATGTGAAGTGGTATAATGCTGACGGCAGCCAATGCTGTTAAATACATATACTGTGTTAGTCTGTTCTTGCACTGCTATAAAGAAATGTCTGAGACTGGGGCTGGGCACAGTGGCTCACGTCTGTAATCCCAGCACTTCGGGAGGCTGAGGCGGGCGGATCACGAGGTCAAGAGATCGAGACCATCCTAGCCAACATGGTGAAACCCTGTCTCTATTAAAAATACAAAAAAATTAGCTGGGCGTGGTGGCGTACGCCTGCAGTCCCAGCTAAGCTACTCAGGAGGCTGAGGCAGCAGAATAGCTTGAACCAGGGAGGCAGAGGTTGCAGTGAGCCGAGATCGCACCACTGCACTCCAGCCTGGGTGACAGAGCAAGACTATATCTCGAAGAAAAAAAAAAATAAAGTCTGAGACTGGGTAATTTATGAAGAAAAGAGGTTTAATTGGCTCACGGTTCTGCAGGCTACACTCAAGAAACATGGTTTCCCCACAGAACTGGGGACTCTCGGCATCAACTTTGGAAACGGGCCGTGCAGGTGGAGTCCTCGTGCTCCACAGAGGCAGCTGTAGGTCATAGCTCTCCCACGGGAGCCCAGTCCCTCTCCCTCTATCTAATGTTATTAGAGTTGGTTTCCCATCAGCCTTCAGTGTGAACTTCCAGCCTTTTTTCATCAGCTGCTTCCTGATGGACAGGAGGTGCCGGAGGTGCACACACCTGTTTCTCCTTGCACAGGCCCAGCTTTCGAGCACGTCTTTGTTTGCTTAGTGGTAACATGCTCCCATCACCCTGCACTGCTCAGAAGCTATCTTCTTACCCAGTCAGGGCAGGGCAGTGGAGGGGCTGCAGAAGGCACCTTTGGGGTGTAACAATTGCCTTTGGGGGAGGGTTTTCTCGATGGGTTTTCTCCTGAGAAAGGGCTGCAAACCACACCACGTGTGCACTCTGTTGTCACGGCGAGACCTGCATGTGGAGCCTGCAGACCTCACGGTCTATTTGCTGTGGGGACAGAAACCTGAATGTACTGGATCCTGAAGCTCTTAAACAAGGGGCTTCCAACCAAGCTCTGCCTCGGAAGGCTGGTCATGTTTGACCCCTTGCCAGGGTGTGAGCTCCCCAAATACCATCATACCTGGGGCTGTCTCTGGTTTGTAAGCACCACTCCCTCCAGAGAAGCCTGAAGGATGAGCAGCTAGGGAGGCGAACACTCTTGGGGGTGACATGGTGGGTGGGACCAGGGTCTAAGTGGAGGGAGGACATTCATGGGGGTGATGTGGTAAATGGGACTGGCCTGGGTGTGGGTGGATGGAGGACATTCATAGGGGTGACATGGTGGATGGAACTGGCCTGGGTCTGGGTGGAGGGAGGATACTCTTGGGGGTGACATGGTGGGTGGGACTGGCCTGGGTCTAGGTGGAGGGAGGACACTCATGGGGGTGATGTGGTAAATGGGACTGGCTTGGTGTGGGTAGAGGGAGGACACTCGGGGGTGACATGGTGGATGGGACTGGCCTGGGTGTGGGTAGAGGGAGGACACTCGGG